ATATACTGCACATAATCAACATATACCACTCAGGTTGTGTGACAGGTTATTGCACAGGTGGTGACACTGAGGTTGAATTATTAATTATTGCCAGTTGTTCAGTGTTATTTATTGAGAGTTCAGTAATCTGACAGCTTGTGGATAATAACTGTCTTTAGTCTTTTTGTGCGTGATGACAGACTCCTGTATCGTCTGCCTGAGAGTAGTAGACAGAAGAGTCCTTGTGCTGGGTGGGTGTGGTCCTTAATGATGCTGCTTTACGCAGACGTCGGCTGTATGCCCTGGATGGTGTGGAGACTGCTGCCAGTGACGTCCTCTGGGCCTCGGATACCTGCAGCTTTCTCTTCTTTCCTCACTTGCTCAGTCTTAGGCCACAATGCTCGTCTCGCCAGAACATTGTTCTTATAAGATCTTCAGCAAACCGGACACCCGCCTCTCTGCACACTGCTGATGGCTTCGTTCTTCTCCAGAGGTCGTCTCAGATGGTTGTTTTGGAGAAGAGAACGATAATCTGTCGGTTCTCTGTCTGTCTTCCTACTCTGTGAATGATGTCCACGACACCATCCTCCATCTTCTCTGCCAGGTCTGGGGCCACTTTGCGCTGATGTTCTCATTTACATCTTATTTTTCCCTTTAATCCAAAGACTCCATCTTCTTTTATGCCTTTCTTGTTCTCAATCCGTTCTTTCAGGTCTTCTTTATGTTTAGCCCACCAGTTGCTCCAAAGACTTGATTGTAATTTTGCAGCCTTCTGAGTGAAGTTCAGTTGTTTTTGCTACAGAGGCCAGAATAGCACTATGCTGCTGTATCTGAGAGCAAAGGTCATCCACACGGCCATCAAGCCGTTGCACAAGTTGATTCTTCAATGAATTACACGCACTTTCTTTGGATGTATCTTTAGATTTGTTTCCTCCTGTTGTTTTTTTCTGGCGTGTTCAATGGCGTCAGGTGGTCCCTGTCCCGCTCAGCAGAGGAGCCAACATCCTCCGTTTGCACAGCACGTGCTCCGCTGCTCTTTCCATATGTCTGACCTGGAGGGATTTGTACGATCCAGTCAAGAACTTAGAGTGGAGATATAACACTTACATGACAACATCTGGGACGGTGAGGGCAGCTTCAGCGACCACTTGCTCGCCATGACCCGAAGCCTCTGTCTGTCTGAGATGTTCATCAACTCATTTTAAACTGACGTAATATGGACTAGAGTCCCCCCAATATGTAACATTTCATTTTAGCTGCTTCCCATATTTCCATGAACTATCATTGCTCATAAGCATTAGGACTGTGTGTTCTGTTCATCTGAAATTAACTGACCAACAGTCACAACCTCAAGGCTTTATTTATTTATTTACTAGAAATAAATCAGACATTTTAATCAAAACATTGCAGGTTTATCCACGTTCTTGTATTTTTCAGGGGTATAAGTTATTTTGGAGCAAAGAAGCTCCCAGTTTTTAGTCTTTGCACATAGACCTGCTCCACTTGCTCTCGGGTTTTGTGAACTTTGTCCTGATTTTTATAATCTCATCTGACAAACAAGCGCGAGGCGGAATGAACGATAGTTGACGGTGCTGCCTTCACTGTCTGCAGAAAGTAGGACATTACAGAGCTCTTAAGGAATCGTGACAACGTTACCAGCCGTGAATTGAATTCAAAGCTGATCAGATTCAGGTTTGTTATTTGTAGATCTTACGTTTTTATTATTAATTAAGATTGTTTGCTGTTAGAATTTTGCAAATTTAATATAGGTGAATGTACAACTTTGAGGGTTTTAATGGTGATGTTTAAATTACGAGGCTCATGAACGCATCTAAAGGGGCGGAGACTTGTCTCCAGAGCTGTCGGTCAGCGCGAGGAACGCTTCTGTGGGCGCTTTACCGTAAACAGATAAATTCAGTCGGAATATCCTCGTTGTCTCGGCCGAACTGAGCGGAACCATGTCCGGCAGCTGGAGGAGCGGTACCGCGGTGACCCACGGACTCATGGCCGTGTTCGCCATGGGCTCGTGGGTTTCTGTCAACAGTCTGTGGGTCGAGCTGCCGGTGGTTGTCAGGAAGCTCCCGGAAGGTCAGCGTCCTCCTCCGCATTAAAACTCTTCACAGCCACATTTAATTTAAAACTCTTCACAGCCACATTCAACACGACCCACTGGCGCAGGAAACAAGCGTGGGCTTCAAGTGGCATCTTTCTGTTTCACGATCCTTTCAAAACTTTAGATTTCAGCATTAAAGTCAGCGCACTGACTAAAACATCCACGAGAGTCGAGGCAGGCTTTTATTTTGGAAACCCAACCGCGTGTAGTTTTTTACTTTATTAAAATGTTCTGGTCGTTTCACGTCACAATATGGAGTTCATCCATCCTTCATCTTTACGAGCTTCTTCCTTTTCGGGATGCGGGGGTCACATGTGAGAGGGGGGGACACCTGGACAGGTCTCCAGTCCATCACAGGGACACCTGGACAGGTGTCCAGTCCGTCACATGGACACCTGGACAGGTCCAGTCCGTCACAGGGACACCTGGACAGGTGTCCAGTCCGTCACAGGGACACCTGGACAGGTCTCCAGTCCGTCACATGGACACCTGGACAGATCCAGTCCGTCACAGGGACACATGGAGACAAAAAACCATTCACTCTCCCCTGGGGACCATCCAGAGTTATCAATCAGTCTAACCTCAAACAAATTTTATTAAACTATAGGAGAAAAACACTTTAATTAATGTTTTACTTAATGTTTTTTATTTTTCACTTGGAGGGAAACAATCAGGAATAAAGCTGTTTTTAAAGACTTTATCAAATAAAGCGATGTATAAATGAAATATGTCGTGTCAGGGAGCGTTTAGTCCAGTTTTCTGCAGAAAGGTTCGGTCCGGTTGATCCGGTTCGTTTGCTGTTAACACATAATCCCTTTACTTCTACAGGTTAATCCCACTGAGCCTCATTTACAAGAGAGACCTGATGTTAACAGAGTGAGGACAAGTCACAAAAGAGACATACAACATTTAAATGTCCTTTTTTTTAAACAAAACAAAATAGCAACCAAAAGGACAGTCAAAAGGAAAAGTAGCAAAAAGAGAAAAAAAAAACGTCTAGATCATAAGACGGTGTAAAAAAACTAACAACAGGAACATCTGCAGGAACTGAACAGATGTTTGAAGCCACTTAGAGAGGTCAAAGGTCGAGAGCTTCAAATCTTTTTGTAAGATATTCCAGGAAACAGGAGCGGAGTAGGAGAAGGTCCTTTTGTCTAGTTCAGTCCTCACTGAGGGAACACTGCAGGTAATGATGTCCTGAGAGCGCACGCTGTAGCTGCACTCATACAGAGACATGTAGGAGGAGATGTATGAAGGCAGCAGACCAGGAAGTGATTTAAAGATGAAAATGTACCAGTGGGAGAGTCTGTGTGAAGTTAATGGTGACCAGTTAACCAGTGGATACTGGGTGCAGTGGTGGGTACGATAATCACAGCCAGTTATGAATCTTAGTGCACCATGATAGACAGCATCCAACATCTTTTTTTTTTTTTTTTTGTTACCTTTTCCTTTTAGCCATCCTCGACAATAAACAACTGTGTCGTCAGCATAGAAATGTATGGATGCATCAGGGATGTTTTTACCTACATTATGTATGTAGATTGTAAAGAGGGTGGGTCCTAAGACTGAGCCTTGTGGTACACCATTGTTGACTGTTAAATAACTTGAGGAAGTACCATTATGTTGAACACATTGCCTCCGGTCTGAAAGATAGTTAGAGAACCAACCAATGGTGTGATCTGAGAAACCAGTTTCTGAGAGTTTATGACACAAGATGTTCTGATCCACAGTGTCAGAATCTTTAGACAGGTCTAAGAAAAGTGCAGCACAATAATCCTTAGCATCCAGTGCTTCAACAACATCATTAAGAACCTTCAGTGAAGCAGTGGTTGTGCTGTGTTGTTTCCTGAAACCAGATTGATGTGGAGGTAAGATGTTAAATGAGTCCAGGTCATTTTTGAGTTGAGAGTTTATCAGTTTTTCTAGAACCTTGGAGTTTAGAGATTGGTCCATAGTTGTTCAGTGAGGCCTCCTCTCCTTTGGGTCGAGGGCAGCAGGAGGGTTAAGGCCTCTATTTGTAAATTTAGACATATTTATCACCGTCCACCATGAAAGGCGGGTGATAATGTCTTTGTCCATGTGGGCGTGTTTGTTTTGTTTGTTAGTAAAATATCTCGTGAAGCAGTGGGCGGAGTTTAATAGAACAGAATGGTCTCACCTGACGTGCCTTCTGCTATTTGTAGCTTTTTGATACATTTACCATTCTGCTTTTTAAAACCTTTAGCTAGCCATTTGCTAAGCTACTTTTATCTTCTAGCTACAATTTAGCTATTTTTAGCTAGCCTTTTTTTAAAATATTCTTGCTACCTTTGAGCCAAACTTTTTAGCTTTTTGCTGCCCTTTTTTATTTTTAGCTTTTAGCCACCATTTTGCTCCTTTTTCAGTGGTCTTTTTGACTTTTAGCTTTTTAACTTTTAGCTTTTTGACTTTTAGCTTTTTAACTTTTAGCTTTTTAACTTTTAGTTTTTTAACTTTTAGCTTTTTAACTTTTAGTTTTTTAACTTTTAACTTTTAGGTTTCAGCTGACGTTTTGTTTTCAGCTATCATTTTACCTCATTTAGTTAGCATTTTGGCCCTTTTAGCTTTCAGCTAGCGTTTGGCCTCCTTCAGCTCTATAAACCCAGCTTCAGCTGCTTCATTAGAGTCATTCAGTGTTTCTCTCGTGTTCTGATGTCGTGTTCTTGTTCCAGAGTGGAACCTTCCTGCCTACCTGTCAGTTCTGATTGCGTTGGGGAACGTGGGTCCGATCGCCGTGACCGTGGCCCACCACTGCGCTCCGGGCCGTCTGAAGGAGCGCCTGCTGATTCACTCCATCCAGGTGCTGGCGGTGGTGGCGTCGGCCTTCCTGGCGCTGTTCTGGTCCCGCACCGTCACCGTGGCCGGAGTGGACCGCTCTCTGCCCTTCCTGGTGCTCACGTTCGTCCTGTCTTTGGTCTGCTGCACGTCCACCGTCACCTTCCTGCCCTTCATGTTCCGGTACCCTCCTCAGTACATCCGGACCTTCTTCATCGGGCAGGGCTTCAGCGCCTTGCTCCCCTGCGTTGTGGCGCTGGGTCAGGGAGTCAGCCAGCTGGAGTGTAAGACGGAGAACGGCACGAGGAGGCCCGAGTATCTGCAGGAGAACTTCCCTGCTCAGAACTTCTTCTGGTTCTTGTTTGTAATGCTGCTGGTCTCGGCTCTAAGCTTCACGGCTTTGACCAGAAGACAGATGGACCCGCAGGAGGAGAGGCCGGCGAACGAGCTGGACAGCGCCACCGCGGCCAAGAAGGAAGAGGAGATGCTCCGACTCTACAACGGAGGAGTGTCGGTGTCTGAGGAGGAGGAGCAGCCGCCTGCTCCGACGTTCTGGACCACACGGAACATCTACCTGCTGGCGCTGCTCGCCATCTCCAACGCCCTGACGAATGGCGTGCTGCCGTCGGTGCAGAGCTTCTCCTGTCTGCCCTACGGCGCCATGACCTTTCACCTCTCTGTGGTTCTGGGCAACATCGCAAACCCTCTGGCCTGTTTCCTCGCCATGTTTGTAGTTCTCAGGTGAGAAAACGGACTCCATGTTTGTAGTTCTCAGCTAAGATAATGGAGGGCATAAATGTTCTGAGCTGGTGAAGCTAAAGGTAGCAGAATACTATAAGCAGCCAAAAGTTAGATAAAAGTTGAAGTAGCTAAAGGCAAGCTAAAAGCTGAATGAAGCAAAATAGTTGCTAAAATTAAAAGTAGCAAAAGGCTAAAAACTAATTGTTACAAAAAGTTAAAAGTAGCCAACAGATATCAGACTTCTTAAAGGAGCTATCTTAAAGCTAACTGAAATAGAATGATAGCTAAAATCCAAAAGTAGCAAATGGCTAGCTAAAAGCTAATCTAAGCTACAAAATTAAATGCCAAAAGTAGCTAAAGGCTATTTAAATGCTAACTGAAGCAGAATAACTAAAAGCTAAAGGTAGCTAAAGGCTAAGTAAATTCTAAATGAATTAGCAGAATGATGGCTAAAAGCCAAAAGTAGCTAAAGGCTAGCTAAAAGCTACATGTTACAAAATCTATCCAAATGTAGCAAAATGATTAAATGCTTAAAGCAGCTTAAGGTAATTTTGTAAACAAAGTAAAATTTTTAGAAAAGTATAAAAGTAAAGAAGCAAAAGCTCTTGTCTACTGAACGAGCCGAACCTTTTGCTGTTTAAACAGCTAAAATACTCCAAAGTCTGCAGGAGTTAGTTTGTACAAACTACAGAGAACTAAAAACCATCCAAAGAGCTGAGCGATGCTGAGTCAGACAGTCAGAACCTGGTTCTGGACTTGTGGACAGGTCTGTCCTCAACGTCTTCTGTTGTCTCAGGTCTTCTGCAGGTCTGGGCGTCCTGTCTTTGGCTGCTGGCGTCTTCGCTGCGTACCTCATGGCGTTGGCAGCGCTCAGCCCCTGCCCTCCGCTCCTGGGAAACCCCGTGGGAGTGGCGTTAGTGGTGAGTTCATCTCCAGTTTCCCACGCAGTCGTTAAACATCTGGTTTATTTTGTAAACGAGAAGAGCTGAAGTCCTGCTGCAGAGCTGGACGTTTGTCCCACCGAAGCTTCCTGTCGTGTCTCCTGCAGGTCGTCTCCTGGATCGTCTTCACCGGACTCTTCTCCTACCTGAAGGTGGTGATCGGGACCCTGCTGCACGAGGCGGGCCACGCAGCGCTGCTGTGGTGCGGCATCTCCATCCAGGCCGGCTCGCTGGTCGGAGCCCTGGCCATGTTCCCTCTGGTGAACGTGTACCAGGTGTTCACCAGAGCCCAGGACTGCGTGGACACCTGCAGTTAGCGCGCGTTTCCTGGTTCAGATCAGCCGAAGCTTTCTGCTCGTCTCGGATCGTGGAGCTTTTAAAACTCCTTCAAACTGAGACCACATTCTGTGGCAGCACAGTGGTCCACCAGAGACACAAGCTCTGACCCGTCTCCATGCTGGTTCTGATCCACTTTACCTAAAGAACCAACAGGCCGAGTGTCGGCTGCACAGACGCTGCAACATTCTGCACCTGAAGCCGGAGGACCTCCTCCCTGCTGCAGGAGGTCTTCTGTGCAGTTTACTCAGTCTCAGTGAAACGTACATGTTTTTTACAGAAACAACAAACGTTTTTCCTTTCTGGACCAACATGTGACACGTTTAAGATAAGTTTCACCTTTAATCTCTATCTTTAATTATTTATTTAGGATCTGACCTCCAGCTGGGATGATTCAACCCTCAGGTCACGATCCGTGACCCGGGTCCATGGTGTTCTGATCAACACGATCCGTGACCCGGGTCCATGGTGTTCTGATCAACACGATCCGTGACCCGGGTCCATGGTGTTCTGATCAACACGATCCGTGACCCGGGTCCATGGTGTTCTGTTCTGAACAGAAGTCCGGTTGTTTTTGAACCTTGTATTAAAGTCACTCAGAACGTCTCGTGTGAAAAAAATCATCCACTCCATCAGTTTCGTTTACCTGTTTATTTGTTTATTATTTATTAATTTGTTGTTGTGGATCCTGATCTGATTTTTAAAGTTTCTTAAATTTGTCAGATTTGAACGCGCTGCAGTAAATTTACTGCCGTTCATTAGTGGAAACATGGAATCATCAGGATAATAATGATAATAATAATAATATAATAATAATAATAATGATAATAAACTGATTCTTCAGCTACCATTTTTTAAGATCTGTCTCTATTTTAGTCCTCCTCCTCCTCCTGCTCCTTCTCCTCCTCCTCCTCCTCCTCCTCCTCCTGCTCCTCCTCCTCAGTAGTTTAGGCTCACTGCGGTTGCTTCATTTTA